AACATTTTCCACCCCTCACCCCTTCAGCGTTCAGCTTTCTTTCTTCCCTGTTTTCAGATTCACAGCGTCTAGAGTCGATTTAGTCGTCTCTGTAACAAGGTTCGGTCCTTAACGCATCTCCCTCTCTTTCCATCGTTCTTCCCTCTCTCTCTCTCTTTTTCTTTAATCTTTATTCAACAAGTCAAGAAACCTTCAAATCTCTTAGTTCCTGCAATTTGAGCTGTTCGCAACAAGAGGATCTTGATATGTGTTTGATTCTTCTTAATTGATGTGAATATGATACCTTTCCATAGAGATTGCTTGAAGCATGTTTTTTCTAAGCAGCAATTTATCCATTCACTCTGTTCTACAAACCCATTTCACCAATTCTTTGATTCTTCTGACATTTTCCCTGCATTGAACTCTCCGACCCTTTACCCTGTTGTTTCCCATTATTCCAATCCCATCAACAATTACTTCAATGCCAAAACCCATAACAAAATTACCCCAATTTGCAAAATATGGTCAATTGCAACTGGACATACATTTGGGTGTTTTTCATTATGTGAATGTTCCCTTTATTCGACTAAAGCTCCCTCGAGATCATGGAGAAGGAGGAACAGCAAAAGAGAAAAAGCCAACAGCAAACCTGTTCTTGATGAGGAGAGATTTCAGCGGGCTGTTTCACAACTCCCACCGAGACTCACTGCTGAAGAACTTTGCAATGTGATAACTCTAGAAGAAGATCCTCTAGTGTGCTTGGAGCTATTCAAGTGGGCGGGGCAGCAGCCAAGGTTTAGGCATGATGTGTCTACTTATCACATTACCATAAAGAAGCTTGGTGTTGCAAAAATGTACCAAGAAATGGATGATGTTGTTAACCAGGTGCTTGCAATTCCTTCTATTGGTTCTGAGGCTCTCTACAATTCAATTATTTACTTTTTTACAGAAGCAAGGAAGTTGGTTAGAGCTGTGAATATATTTAATCATATGAAGAATTGTAGAAAATTGGAGTGCAGCCCTTCTATCAGAACGTATAACATTCTTTTGACGGCCATGTTAAGTAGGGGAAGGAATTCGTACATAAATCATATGTATATGGAGACAATTAGATGTCTGTTTAGGCAAATGGTCAATGATGGGATTGAACCTGATATTTTTGCCTTGAATTCTATGATAAAGGGATATGTTCTTTCTCTTCATGTTAATGATGCTTTGCGGATATTTCACCAGATGGGTGTGGTCTATAACTGTGTTCCGAATGCTTTCTCGTATGATTATCTGATTTATGGGTTGTGTGCACAAGGTAGAACAAACAACGCTAGGGAGTTGTCTGAGGAAATGAAGGAAAGAGGGTTTGTTCCTAGCAGTAAATCATATAACTCTCTTGTGAATGCTTTGGCCCTTGCTGGAGAGACTAAGGAGGCAGTGGATTATTTAAGGGAGATGATTGAAAAACGGAGGACAGTTGATTTCATTACGTACAGAACTGTCTTGGATGAGATTTGTAGAAAAGGAAGAGTTGGAGAAGCGATGGGGTTTTTAAAGGAGTTACAAGAGAAAGACCTTGTTGATGGACATACTTACAGGAGGCTTCTATATGTGATTGAAGATGATTTTTGTGATTCAAATGACAAGCAGCATTAGGTACTGAGCACTAGAGTTATTTTATTCCAATTTATGACATAATTCTGTTCTATTTTTTACTGCTGAACTAGGAGCTTTTTTGTTCTCTGATAATATATTGGAGAGACTACATCAAGCATATAAAATTTTGTGCTGGATCAAATTGATTGAAGTTGTGGCCTCATAGTGGGTAGCAGCTGCTGCAGAGATGATTTGCTTCTTCTCTAGAAGACCTTATTGGGTTGCAATTCTTCATGAAAAATTTCTATGTTTATCCAGAGAATTGCTTGAATCAATTGATTGTGTTGATCAGATTGACTAGAAATAGTGTTGTGTGTACTTTCATTTGAACTGAATATAAGGAGAATGTGAAAATTAAGCAATTAACATGCTAGCAATTTTGCATTTCATTATGATGGATTGACTTGCAGGTTCTGAGAGATGGTTTAACCTTGTGGTTCTTCAGACCAACAACTCTGTATTACATGATTGTTTGACTGAGAGGTAATGTTCCCTGTATGGACAGAACTTGACTTCATTTGGTTTAATTGTGTCAGATAATGGTTTCATTTCAGAGGCTAGAGAAAGCTATCCAGAGAGTACTGTTATCATGTCATGGCACCGAAGAGTGACAATGTTGATGGTATTAATAGAAAACTTTGATGCCTTGGCTCAATTCTCATCCACACTCCGGATCACCTTTGTTGGGTTGGTATTCTGCCTCTTGTGAGGTTTCCATGGGTTGTGAGGTTTGTGTGCGAGGTGGGTTCATGTTTGCAAGGTTTGAGAACAGGAGATGAAGCACTGGCAGCCATGACCAGGCTGCAAGGATTGATATTGGAAGGACAATTGTGGTCATTGATAAAAAAAAACGAAAAAAAAGAAGTGGCCCTCACTTGAAGAGAAACAGGACTGCTAGATTTTATCACATGGTAATTGTAATTGTTGAATCACATGCCCATTGTAACTGTTGCTCCTTTCTTTTTCCCTCAAAGCTATTTATATTATCACAATTCAATTCATTTATCAAGGATGGCCAAAAAAATTACTTCTGGTAATCTGATGTACTTTTTCTTCTGAGAACAATACAAAGGAAAGAATATGGGATATAACCTGATCATGTTGTGCCATTAGGCTTGGCAGCGAACGAAGATTCAAGTCGAGAAATCAAATCTCAATAATCAGGTTTTTATCTACTCAGAACCCTATCCTCAGAAGTCTGATGTAACCAAGCAGTCACATAACAGAGTCAGTTAAGGTCATCAGATTTCATGATATATATAATTCACATGAAGACTGGCCGGAACAAAAATTTATATAAAAAAAGGTACAGCAATGGAAACAAAATAAAGTGTATATTTATGTTCATCTTGGCTACTGCCTAAAGCTATTTAGAACATGGGTAAGAGAATCTCAAGGCTCTTGAGATTTTAATTGATTGGGAAGATAGCAGTTTCCAATATACTTAAAAGGCATATTTACCAGGAACCAGAGTTTGAATTCTCTTTGTTGTATATTTCTATTGCTATTGACACCACCACAATCTAAAGGCCAAAAAAATTCTTCCCAAAACCCTTCACTTCAAAGGGGTGACAGTCTGAGCGAGAAACTATCATATAAACATCTGTAACCTATGAGTCAATAAATCACTCCACCGGTGTATCACCTAGGGTTACCTCTTCCTGCAGTTCTGTATCATCCAATGGAGTTTGCTCTACTTCTATGGTATTGTTAAGTGGGCCTTGTGGGGTTCCAAAAATTGTAGTAAATATTTGCCTGTGGCATTCATCACAGAAGTAGAAATATGTGAAATGGCCCTCATATGGTAGCTTATGCACTGCAGCCCCTTGCAGAACACGGTGCACAAAATCAGTCATCGAAGGAGGGACTACTTTATCATCCATTCCCTGCATAAGAATTGAAAATTAAGAAATTAATTTCAGAAATATTAATAAACAGTCCTGAAATAACTTTTCATGATTCTTTGAAACAAAAACAGTGATGCTTCTTGGCCATTAATTGAGTTGCAAAGTAAAAACCCATTCAATTCTAAAAATCTATCTGAAGTCTACAGCACAAGCATTGATGTAAAGCAAGTGAACTACCATAATTCTCCCAAATATATATGCGTGGACTGATACTCACTGGTTCACACTCCTCTCCTTAAAAAAAATAAATAAAAAGTAAAAACAAAGACATAGAGACAGATGTTTCATTGCTACAACCTCATACAATAATTGGATAAGGTGGTCACTGACCTGCCATATATGTATTGGACCAAGAAAACCCGTATATTCTTCTTGAGATCCACGAAGCAAAAGTTTGACCATATTGAGAATGCCCTTCCCCCGCTGTTTTTTCTGCATTTTGAGATCTGCAATGCTGAAACCCCAATTGGAGACCTGCAACACAGCTTCCTCCACAAAAGGTTTTGCATTCCCTTGTCGGATTGATTCTTCAAAATCTCTTTGCCAGAATTCTTCATAGATAGGATCTTCTATCAAAGCTCTGTCCTGGAAAGATGACCAATGAGTACAATGAGTCCCATTAGTTCTGGTGGATCATGACCCATTTGTTGTAGCACTGAAGTGGTCAGGTATAAGCCATGCGCCTAGATTTCTAACAGTGAACTCTGTATTTACTGATTTACATATATCATTACCTCACAGGTCTGTGCTTTAACTTATCGCTAGCAAGTTGAAGTTCCTAAATCATTGAGGCCTTAGATAGATTTCTCTCTAAAGCATTTAAATTACCCAACAGCCAGTAAAGAAAAACTGTTGTTACCGAAATAGGGGTCTAGGCCCCCAATTTCAGGGGTCTGCCTCCTCCACCAATGGCTAAGGTCATTTTTTTGATTGATAAATCCCATCAAGGGATAATACATACCAATTTTTTTCATAGAGTTCTTAGACCTGCTCTCAACCCTGACTCCAAGTTCCTAGATGTACTCTTAACATATACTCAGCCCCTTAGAGCAAACAAAACCACTTGCATCAACATGCCAATGTAATCTTCAGAGTTGTAGAAGCACTGAAGCAAAACTACCTCATACAAAGATACATCAAAGTCTAAGTTGTGCCTCAACCTACTCTAGCACTTCATACCTCATAGACTCAATACATCAAGATTTCTTTCTAATAACTCAATTAACC